TCGCAAAACTGCTGCCGTTTGAGTTGTCACTTACCATTTGACCCCTCTTGGTCGCTAGAGGCAAATGCCCCTAGCGTTCACCCGAACACCACAATGAGGTGGGGGTTATTCGTCCGGGAAAACCTGTTTGGGAGGGGAGGGTTAGAACAATAGGAGAAAACACCTCAGGAAATATTTCTTCTGTTGTCAGTGCGGGGTTGCCAGGTTGACCACCAGCAGTGAAGATCGCCATTGAAGGGAGGAGGAGGAGGAGGTATCCCAACCCGATCGAGCCCAACCGAACCTGACTGATACCTCCCAGACCCGACCAACTCCTACCCGACCAAACCTCACCTCCCACACCAACCCAACACCCCTTGCTAACACGCTCCTAGCTAACACGCGCCTGAACGCCGACCTCCCTCCCACCAACTTACAGAACATCCTTGCCGTACCCCGCTGGTTCCTCCCGCCGTTCCTGAGAAAAAGGGAGGGGGAAGGGGGAGGGGGGGAAGCGGAGGGGGGGGAAGGGAGGGGGGAGGAGTCAGCGTCGCTCCTCGCTCCTCTGCTCCATCGCTCCGTCGGTCCGCGCCTCCATCGCTCCGTCGGTCCGCGCCTTCGCCGTTCCGTCGAACCCCGCGTCCGCCGTTCCGTCGCTCTGTCGATCCACCGCTCCGTCAATCCGCCGCGCCGTTGATCCGCCACTCCGCTCCTCCGCCAAACTCCATCGTCGCTCCTTGCTCCTCTGCTCCATCGCTCCGTCGCTCCGCCGCTCCGCCGCTCCGTCACTCCGCCGCTCGGTCGTTCCATCGTCGCTCCGCTCCTCCACTTCCGCTGCTCCTCGCTGCTCCGCTCCCGTTCCTGCTCCTGCTACAAGGGCAAACAGAATCAGTTAGTAATAGTGAAGTAAAAAACAAATTAATCTGAAATGACATCTTACCATGAAAGTAGGCGCTGCCGCTCCCTCTACCGCCTTCGCTCCCGCTCCCGCTCTTGCTTCCGCTACAAGGACAAACAGAATCAGTTAGTAATAGTGAAGTAAAAACTTAAATCAAACTGAAAAGACCTCTTACCATGAAAGTTGTCGCTGCTGCTCCCGCTCCCGCTCCTGTTCCTGCTACAAGGGCAAACATAATCAGTTAGTAAGAGTGAAGTAAAAAACAAATTAAAATGAAACGACACCTTACCATGAAAGCAGTCGCTGCCGCTCCCGCTCCCGACTCTGCTCCCGCTCCTGCTCCTGCTACAAGGGCCAACAGTATCAGTGGATAATCGTGAAGTAAACAACATCAAAACAACGAAATTTTACCAGTGGTTGCTCCCGCTTCCGCTCCTGCTCCCGTTCCTGCTCCTACTACAAAAGCAAACAGTTTCAGTTAGTAATTGTGAAAACAAAAAGAACTACAACTGAAGGACGACCTCACCGTTCTTGCCGTCGTGTGCGATGAGCTGAAAAGGTGGCGTGGACGTTGACGTTGACGTTGAAGTTGGCGTTGACGTTGGCGTGGACCACACGGGGATCTTGAGGCGAGAAGGACCACACGGGGGTCTTAAGGCAAGAAGGACCACACGGGGGTCTTGATTTCTTCCCTCTTTGAAGAGGCGAGACAACGGACTCCTACAAGGAGCAAGACAATCCTGTTAGACCAGTTTATCCGAAAAAACACATAAACGACAAGCTCAATCGAGAAAACACGATTTTTTTTTTACATAATTAATTTAAGAGGAGTTTGAAAGGAGCTGAAACTTACCTCAAGCGTCTTCTGTTTGCCGGGCAAGCGGCCATCAAACGCTTCCAATGACAAAGACTTGAGGCGCCACCAAAGGCGGAGAAGTGGCCGGCAACGAAGCGGAGGGGTCCTCCGGGGCTTAAAGCCCTTGCGGCCGTTAAGGCGGGGAAGCACCACCAACGGAGTGAGGTGCCATCCGCGGATTAAAGCCGTTGAAGATATTCTTCAACGACGGGGAGATGCCATTTGAAGCAACCACGGGAAATTTTTTTCTTGCAGCTACAGTGAAGGTTTCATGGGGAATTTTCGCGGTGAATATCATGTCGCAAAACTCAGCGTTGTACAAGGTTCAGCTCGAGGCAGCGCAGCATTAAGACTCTCTAAAAGCTACCCAACCCATTGTCAAAACATATATGCTTATGTTCTTTAGGCTATATGGGTGTTAGCACTAGGGGGTACACAATTTCACTCGATGTTGCTCTTGTACCCCTCCCCTTGACCTAATGACCAACTATTCTTCTCACCTAATCTCGACATGGTATCAGAGCGGGTCCTTCCTAAGGACCATTTTTTTAGAGGGCCCACCACTTAGATTTTTTTTTCTTGCCCGAAATCTGCCCTGCCCTGCCGAGCGCGCAGTCCATACAGCCCGCGCCAGGCCCGTTTAGCCCGCGAACCGCTCGCGCGTAGCCCGTACAGCCCGCGCCAGGCCCGTTTAGCCCGCGAACCGCCCGCGCGTAGCCCGTACAGCCCGCGCACCACCCTCGCGCAGCCCATACAGCCCGCGCGCCGCCCGCGTACAGCCCGTACAGCCCGCGCGCGGCCCCACGCAGCCCGCACGGCCCGCGCCAGGCCCGCACGCAGCCCATACATCCCGCGCCAGGCCCGCGCGCAGCCAGTACAGCACGCGCTAGGCCCGCACGCAGTCCGTACAGCCCGCGTCAGGCCCGTGCCCATCCCACCCACTAGACTCTAAGCTGCTGCATGCCAGCTGCTTCCGCTTGTACGAGCCGGTTCGCTGTATGTAATTCAAACTGCTTCGTGGAGCTTGTAGCCTGAAGTCTGTATAAAGGAGTTCACGAGGAAAAAAATCCTTCAGATGGAATCGCGAAGGATAGGAAACGAAAACAGACTTAATTGATGGTACTTGTAAGTTACTCCTATGGGAGGTATGGGTTGCTCGCTGTCAGCGAAAAGGCTGCACGAGAAGACACAGAGTTGTTTATGGTGCTCTAGGAACACCATAAAAAAAAATGGTTCAGGGGTTGGACAAATTTGACAGTTTTGAGGGTGGGATTCGAAATATTTGCCACCGATGGTTTTCCAATCGATTTTTTTACTAAAACCCCTTGGCTTTCGGATGGAAATTCCCACACCAGGTCATGCTTTGGCGCGAAATTCAGCAGTAACCGAGTCGCGTCAAGTTTGACACGGTGTCTCAAGATTTCCGACTGAATTCCTGCGGGATTACGTTTGAGGGCGACGAGGGAAGGAATAGTGCACACACGAATTTATTAAAGATTCTGTGAGAATAATACGAGGAATGAATGAACTAGAAATGAGAGGGGTACAAATAGGGAACCCTAGAATTGCTGTACCCCCTATTGTCTATCCCACTACAGCCTAAACAGGCTATAGCATATGTTTGACACACCCCCATAGGCAAAGTGGGGGAGAACAAGAGGTCACAAGACCAGTCAAGAGAAGCAAAGCAAGCTCAGGGTGGATCTCAAGGATACCACACAAATTCCGAGCACAAGCAAGTGGTCACAAGACCAGTTCACATGCAGTTTGATAATACAACAAGAAGTACAGTGATCACAACCTAGCAAGAGTAAACATGCAGGTAGAAATATATAAGGATCACAGTACAAGCAGAGTCAAGAAGTAAGCAAGTGAGGCACAGTAGGCACAAGGCCTAGAACAGTACAGAAACGCTGATGATCACAAGGCTGAAGGGCCTTGGTGAAGATATCAGCAGTGTTGGCCCGAGTGGCCACGTAAGCAAGACGAAGCTGACCACGCTGCTGCTACTCTCGAGCAAGGAAGTAGCGCAGAGCGATGTGCTTCGTTCTGTGCTCCAGTCTGTGCTCCTGGCACAAGGCAATCATGGCCTTGTTGTCGACGTACAGCACTGGAGGAGAACGAGGCGGCTCGCCAAGGTCGGTCAGCAGGTAGGTGAGCCAGCGTAACTCCTGTGCAGCCATGGCCCCTGCGTAGATCTCAGCCTCACAGCTGGAGCTGAGAACAGAAGACGAGCGGGTAGACCGCCACAAAACAGAGCCGGAGCCAAGGCTGAAGGTGTAACCCTGTGACGACCGCTGCGTAGTCAAGTCGTCAGCCCAAGAAGCGTCTGCGTGACCAGTGAGGACAACTGGACCTCGCCCTCCAAGCACGAGCCCCATGCCCGACGTACTGCACAAGTAGCGCAGCACCCTCTTAGCAGCATCCATGTGCTCCTTCCTGTGTCGGCCAGGAGCAACATAGCGTGCTAGGATGCTAAGAGGGTAGGCTAGGTCAGGTCGAGTGCAGGTCATCAGGTACATGAGGCAGCCCACAAGCTCTGGATACGGGCCACTCGGCTCTACGGACTCGTCCGAAGGTGGAGCTGAGAGCGAGTGACCGGTAGGCAGAGGAGTGGACTGTGGCGAGGAGTACGTGAAGCGGAAGCGCTGAAGGACCTGCTGCACCATGTGTGACTGAGTCAAGGTAATGGTGCGCTGTGCTCTGTCCCGGGTGATCCGCAAGCCAAGATAGCTTGTCAGCTCACCCAGGTCTGTGCACGTGTGTCTCTTCTGCAGCTCCGACTTCACGTGGGCGAGTGCCTCAGTGTCAGCAGTAGCAAAGACCAAGTCGTCTACGTACACGAGAACGTAGAACGGCGGCAGAGTGGTGTCGGTGCGTAGAAACAGCGACGGGTCAGCAGTAGAAGGAGCAAACCCAAGAGCAGCAAGAGTTGTCCTCAGTGTGTCGTGCCACTCACGGGGTCTCGGCGGAGACCGTAGACTGGCCGCCGGAGGCTCCACTGGGTACCAGGAGGAAACGACCCAGTGAAGCCAGGTGGGCGGCGCAGCCAGATCTCCTCGTGCAGGCTGCACTGTAGGAAAGCAGTGCTGAAGTCAAGAGAGTGGAGCTCGTAGTCACGCTGAGCGGCGACGTGCAGCAGAACCCGAAGAGTGGTCATCTTCGGGGTAGGGGAGAAGGTCTGGAAGAAGTCAAATCCCTCACGATGACTGAAGCCTCGTGCAACGTAACGCGCATTGAAGACAGGCGGAGAACCCGGCGGCCGCTTCACCCTGAAAGTCCACATGCCACTGACGATGTTCGCCCCAGGCGGGGGAACATCGTCGATGTAGGTGCCTGTGGACTTCCAGGAAGCCATCTCTGCGTCCATGGCTGACTGCCACTGAGAGGAGTAGGGACCCTCTATCGCCTCTGCGTAAGAGCGCGGGGTCGGGATGTCTGGTGCATCCGGGTCTCCCTCAGGGGCAATCAGCATGGACACGAGATGAGGTAAAGCAGCGGCAAAGCACTCAAACTCCTCCTGTCTGTCCTCATGGACGTCCGTGCCAAGAGCACACTCACCCCCGACGGACGGAGGACAGACAGACTCAGACTCAGCAACAAGGCTAGCGGCGTAGTCTAGACGACAGGCGGCAGCAAAGTCAACAAGCTTAGCCACTAGAGCAGACGCATCAGTGGACTCAAAGGAAGGGTCAGTGACAACAGTAGCGAGGAAACGCGTGACAGTAGGACTGGCAGCTTGAAGGGAGTCAGACTCCGGGTCCGGACCGTCAAGAAGAGAGGACGCAGGAGGAGACGGCAGAGGGACACGCTGCGGAGCAGTGGAAGGACGCAGAATCATATAGTGAGTGCCAGGGACAGGAGGAGGACGCTCACGCGGAACACGACGACCAGTGCGGACAGCGCGGACAGGCGACTCTGGACGAGACTCAGGTGACGCAGGACGAGACGCAGGCTCACGACGCTCCGTAAGACCTCTAGTCGGCCCAGAGTAAGGAGAAGGACTAGGCAGTGGAGAGGCTGGCTGTAACTGTGACTGCGACTGGACAGGCGGTGGACTCAGTAGGGGAGGAGGAGGACCAGTAGAGGGCGGGAGGCCAAGAACCTGCTGAAGGAGCGGAACGTAGTACGGCCGCGGCCGCGCAGCGCCTCCTGAACCAGCAGAGACAGCACCAGCACCCTCAGCTCCAGGGTCTCCAGCTACAACTCCCGCAGCACCACCAGCTCCAACAGCTCCAGCACCGCCAGCAGCTCCAACACCAGCAGGACCTCCAGCAGCGCCAGTACCTCCAGCACTAGCACCTCCAGGACCAGCGGCTCCAGTAGCTCCAGCACCAGCAGCACCTCCAGCAGCTCCAGCACCAGCAGCACCTCCAGCAGCTCCAGCACCAGCAGCACCTCCAGCAGCACCACCAGCAGCTCCAGCACCAGCAGCACCTCCAGCACCAGCAGCACCTCCAGCAGCACCACCAGCAGCTCCAGCACCAGCAGCACCTCCAGCAGCAGCAGCACCTCCAGCAGCAGGCCCCCCAGCTCCAGCAGCACGGCTACAGCGCCGAGCGTACCACTCACGAAGCTGCCGTGGAGAGAGTGGCTCCCGTCGCGACGGGACACTCGGAGGACCTCTAGGCTCAGCACCCCCAGACACAGCACCCCCAGGCGCAGCACCCCGAAGGACCCGCCAGCACGCGAGCCAGCGGACCCGCCGAAGGACCAACCAGCACACGAGCCAGCGGACCCGCGAGCACGCAATCATACGAGTAAACGGACCCGCCAACGGACCCGCCAGCGCGCGCGTCAGAGAACCCGCCGATGGACCCGTCAGCAAGCCCGCCGACGGACCCGCCAACGGATCCGCCGACGAACCCGCCAACGAGCGAGCCAGCAAGCCCGCCGACGGACCCGCCAGCAAGCACGCCGACGGACCCGCCGTCGGACCCGCTAACGAGCGCGCCAGCAAGCCCGCCGACGGACCCGCTAGCAAGCCCGCCGACGGACCCGCCAGCAAGCACGCCGACGGACCCGCCGTCGGACCCAAGCACAAGCCCCATGCCTGAAGTAGTCGCCAGGTACTTTGCTACCCTCACAGCTGCCGCCTAGTGAACAGGACGGTGTCTCCTAGTTGCAACATAGCGAGCCAGGATGTTGAGAGGAAAAGCAAGGTCTGGACAATTAGAGGTCATCATGTACATGAGGCAGCCCGCAAGCTCTATGTAGGGACCACTGGACTCAAAGGTCATGTCAGGAACAAGAACAGTGAGTCCATGGTCAACGGCAAGAGGAGTGGGTTGTGTGGTGGAGAACTGAAACCCAAACCGCTGAAGAACTTGCAGCACCATGTGTGATTGAGTGAGTGTGATGGTGCGAGCGGTTCTGCCTCTGCCGCCAAGGTAGCAGCGCAGTTCACCAAGGTTAGTGCACGTGTGTCTTTTCAGCGGTCCGGGCATCACGAAAGCCAGAGCAAGCCTGTCTGCTGTAGCGACGACCAAGTCGTCAACGTAGACGAGGATGAAGAAAGGTGTAGACCCATAACGAATGAACATCGACGGGTCGGCGGTAGAAGGTCTGAAACCAAGGTCAGCAAGTGTAGAGTGAAGAGTGTCGTGCCACTCACGGGGTGCCTGGCGGAGACCGTAGAATGGTCATCTCAGGCTCCACTAGGTCTTAGGCGGGAAAGTGCCAGTGAAGCCAAGAGGACGGCGCAGCCGGATCTCCTGCAACCGATCATCGCCTGTACCAACAGCAATTCGGCTGCCTTCTATTCGCCGCCATAACATGTTGTCTGGACTTATCCTATGCTACAAGCCAGCTCGCCCAAGATCGATAGTAAGCTGGAGAGGGGGGAAAGTCAGGGATGGGGTCATCCAAAACTTCAGCTATGTATGGACGGGAGAGGAGGGACAGGCTAAGCCTCTATGGGCGGGGGGCTTTGGACGATAGCTCGAATGCTAGGGAGCATAATGGAGCGTAGGAGTGATCAGATATGATGACTGGGGTGAGGAGGTAGGGGGAAGCTACGAGTCGGTTCTGGAAGGAGGTGGAGATGTACATTTAGTCCAATCGGGAGGCTGGTGGTGGTGCTGCAGGCGGAGGGCCCGACGATTGGGGTATAGCGGGTCGGGGTACTGCGGGTGCAGGGACCGCAGGCGGAAGGCCCACAGAAGATGGTATAGTGGGTCGGGGTAATACGGATGGGGGGACCACATGTCGGGGGGTGGCGCGAGGACGGCCAAAGTAAGAAAACAAAAGGTGGCGTTGGGGTGGAGTGCCCGGAAGATATCAACAAACGAGTGTTCGGACAGCAATGCCTCGATGGTGGAGGCTTCATTCCGTTCCTTACCGTGCGGGGGGCGGTTGCGATCAGAAGGGTGGATTAGAGAGTTGAAGCCCCCAACAAGTAAGGTTGCAGACGCAGCTGGTGGAGAGTCCAACATCGGGGCAAGTCAGGAGCGCCACCAAGGGCGCCTGTCAGTGGCATGAGGCGGGGCGTATAGAGCTATGAGCCTTATTTGCTCTTGGTGGAATTTGACGTCAATAGGGAGAAGACGTCCGTTAGTTAATGGTATATGAGGGGTAAGAGAGAAGGATTTGTTAAAGACGAGGACATAGATGTCTCCGGGAGAGGGACGTGAGCCAGATGAGCGGGTGTTACCCTGGCGGGCCATAGTGTTAGTAGAGGCGTGAGGGCGAAAGCGAAGGTCCAGCCTTTTAACATTGTTGGTGAGGCGGTTATTAACTAGTACAACGATGTCAATGAGCCAGCCTTTTAGAGCGTTCATTTTTAAAGGGGCAGATGATCCACTCATGTTTATGCATAGTATTCTGAGATTTGTTATCATGGTATATAGGGCAGAGCCCATCGCGCATCAAGGTGAGCGAATCCACGGGCTGATAAGTAAGTTAGGAATTGAGTACAGCTTTCCAAACAACATAGGTGAAAGTGAAGTTGGGACATGTAGCAAGCTATAATATTGTTATAGTCACAATAGGCTTGAATGTGCCTAAAACGAAAGATAGAGAGCACAGACGGATTTCTGCACAGCGGCTTCAAACGTTGATAGCGTTCTGCTCACAGCTGCAAATGACTTGATTCAAATTGGATCTGGAGCGTCTTCACGTCTTCTACAATTATCAATTTAGATTGCACGATTTGATAAAGAATTGACGACACAGCGTCGGTTTGAACGAACGGTACTATGGCCGCCATTATAGTCTTAGAACACAAGATAGGAAGAGTTACGAGTTGGGAATGACTCCCAGCTCCTACAAACCCCAAGAGCCAAGGTACAGTGATGTGGAACAGTGCCACACTGTCCCCAACCACGAAGGGTCTCGAAACTACCCTTCACTAGGGCCTACACCAAGTGAAATGTTACACTACACAAAGTAATGTAAATATCTTCAATATCTTGAGGTGTACCCTTTTTGGCGAGCTTCGAAATCACTTGAGGCTTGACACCAAGGCTCGGGCTCTTCATCACAAACTCATCCTTGAGTTCTTGATGGGTCTGCTGCACACACCTGCGACACGCCGAACGTTCGACACAGGACAAAATAGAAACCGCGCACGACAAAATAGAAACCGCGCGTGAGACACAAACGACCGCGTAACACGCGTCTAGCGATAACTCGCTATTGACTCAACACACACACTCGACATCATGACTCAACATTCACACACAATTATAAGCATGAAATATATATTATCCCATGCCCTCATACCATTCCATACACACACACATTCACGCACACGGACAACAAGCCGAGTGCAAACCGTAGGGTTGCACCAACAAACTCCCCCTCGGATTGTTGGCCTTAGGATATGTTGCTCTCTCAGTTCAGAGCCATCCCAGCCAGCTTGCAACACTTCCAATGCTGCTGCTCCACCAGCCTCTTGGTCATCATGTCAGCCGGCTGCCCCGTGGTCTTCACGTAGCGCAACTCAACTTCACCCGCGGTTACCATGCTCCTCGTCCAATGCCACTTCACCCTCATGTGCTTCGTGAGTCCATGCAACACAGGGTTCTTAGCAAGAGCAATGGCACCCTGGCTGTCACAGTACAGTGGGGTAGGTCCTTGCTGCTCCTCCCCCAATTCAACCAACAAACGCCGCTGCCACACAATCTCCCGTACGGCACGGAAGAGTGCCATGTACTCGGACTCCACCGAGCTCAAAGCCTAATCAACCTGCTTCTTGCTCTCCCAAGCAGTTGGGCCTCCACCAACACAGCATATGAAGCCTACTGCCTTGCTATTATAACTCTGCATGTGAACTGGCCTTGTGGTCGCTTGCTTGTGCTCAGATTGTGTGGTGTCCTTGAGATCCACCCTGAGCTTTGCTTTGCTTTGCTTGTTCTCTTGCTTGACTGGTCTTGTGACCGTCTGTTGTGTTTGCTATCTCCCACTTAGCATATGGGGGTGTGTCAAACTGTATGTTTGTGTTCTCTCTAGGCTATAGTGAGTTAGCCTACAAGGGGTACAACACTTTAGGGTTAGGTACTTGTACTCATGCATGCTACCTAGTCCATCATTCCTACCTGCAGATTCTATCACTACATGCATGAGGGAGAGTGTATTGACCGCTACATCGGCGTCCTAAAGCACAAAATCACTCAAGAGATTCAGCTGAGCAACGTCACCGAATTCAATGAGATTCTCGCTATGGCGGAGAAGCTCGACTTCTTACGCCGATCGACACCGGGGTCCTACGGCAACAACAGTAGCTGGGGACATCGGCCTCGTGGGACGAACGTGCATGCCACGATACGCGCTGTCGCCGCGAATGCCACTGCCGCACCGTTCAAAGGGCATTGCTTCGCGTGCAACAGGCAGGGGCACCGTAAGAGCGAGTGCCCGGAAAACGCTAAGGGAAAGGGGGAAGCGGAGTAGCAGAAACAGACCAAGCAGCAGGGAAACGCTGGGAGTCAGTAGCAGACGGGCCCTCTACTGACAGGTCACGCCGCTCGCCCGACCCAACCGACCTTCACCGAGTGATTGTGCCGGTTCACGCAGTTGACCACACCCGGTCGAATAAGGAGGGTACAACGGTAGACAGCCCCATACTGCTTAGTGGGAAAATACCGACAGACTTAGTTAAGATCTTCGTAGACGGTGGAGCCAGCCACAGCCTGATCAACACCGCCACAGCACGGATACTGAAACTGCCACTGGACATGTGTTTACCTGAGATTGACGCACGATTGGTCGACAGCACGCCACTGGCGATACGGGAACGTGTGGACCGAGTTCGGATCCAATGCGGGGGTAGCTTCACATTTACCCAAGAAATGCTCGCAACGACCCTCGACGAGACCACCATTTTACTCGGCCGTGATTGGCTGCGACGACACAATCCGCGAATCGAATGGACGACGGGTAACAACATCGCCCTACCTCGCTGGAGCTCGCCTGCGTCTTCATCGGTGCGTGTCAACGCAATCACGATGAAACTCGCCGTAGCGGCAGGAGCTGACGTGTATGCGGTTGACATCCAGGAAGCCGAGGCAGCAGACAAACCGAGCGCTTTACAGAAACTGATTGCCGACGTATTGGATGACTTGGCAGCACTACTGAAGCAGTACAACGGGATCTTTCCGAATGACCTACCGGAGGGACTGCCACCTCAGCGACCGCACGACCACAGGATAACACTGGAACCGGAGGCACAGCCTACAGCGACAGTTCCGAGTGACCCAACCCGAACGGGACAAACTGCGGAAGCAGCTGGATTACCTGCTTGAGAAAAATGTTCATTCGCCCGGGTTCGTCGCCTTTCGCAGCACCAATACTGTTCACACCGAAAAAAGATGGGGGATTTCGCATGTGCATAGATTACCGCGCACTGAACCTAGTTACCATCCATTCCCGCTACCCCATCCCGCGTGCCGACGTACTGATCGACCAACTTCGCACAGCCCGAGTCTTCTCGAAATTGACCTTCGGGAGGTTACCACCAGATCCGAGTCAATCCGCCCCACTGCCCGAAAACCGCCTTCCGAACCCGCTACGGATCGTTTGAGTACACTGTAATGCCCTTCTGACTGACCAACGC